TTAGAACATTGCTTCCCACATTGCTAAAGCGTGAGCTTTACTTTTCTACTGTTCATTCTAGGCTACATTATTGTTTACTCGTCTATGGGGTTACATCCAGTCAAATATAGGTTTGTATTTAATGCAGAAAAAAAGGCATACGGTTTATTCAAAACTTGTCTGCATCTGATCACACATCCTCATATTTTGATCTGAATCATATGCTGAATATTGAGGCTTTATATAATCAACGACTGTCTGAAGTTATTTTTTCAAAGCTAACAGCTGACCGTGAACTATTTTTGTCTACATAGACAGACACTGACGTACATTACAATTTCAGACACAATAATTAAAAAAAAAAAAATAGGACCAGAACTAATTACGGTACACAATTATTAACCTGGCAAATTCCTAACCCCCTGAACCTTTACCTTGCCTAAGTTGAAATGATTGACAATAGCTCCTCACTGTTGTTCTTCAGAAAACGAGCAAAAATGTATTTTCTTCATCCGTTGCAGTTTGCTGTTTTCTCTGTTCTCATCATACATATCAATGTATGATGACTCGTAATTATGTTGCTGTCATATAAATTTTCTCTAGATAATTCTATGACCTCATAGGTAGTATGTGTTGACTGCTGCCTGTGACATGAGTGTATAAAACGGCCAAAAATGTATTTCCTTCATCCGTTGTAGTTTTTTTTTTCTGTGTGCGTGTGTGTAGGTTCTAACCATATATATCGATTTATTTGCAATCATGTTGCGGTTATATAATTTTCTTTTGGTAATTCTATTACCTCGTAAGTAGTACAAATATATATATATATATATATATATATATATATATATGCACAATCTTTTTTCTTTGTTTTTTTGTTTTGCTGTATGTTTGCCCGCTGCCTGTGTTGTGAGTGTAGCCTAGTACTAGGGGCCTAGTCAGGCGACTTTATTGTCGCCAAGTTTGCCCCAGCTCCATGACAATCTCTGCATTGTCAAAAAAAAAAAAAAAAAAAAAAAAAACTTGCACCGGAATCGCCTTGAAACCTGGACCGTTCACAGTGCTGCTCGGTCGTGTAGCACGAAGCCGGTGCAACGTCGAAGACAGACTGCGCCGCGGCGCTGCACCGCGGCGAGCTCTACCAGACGTCAGCTCTCATTTTGTTCATTTTATTTTCTTGCGTAGGTCCGCGCGCAGTGCCCGTCTGCTGTCAATCTCTCCTGTTCTTTGACTCGCGGATTTGGCGGTCCCACACGATTGAACATCGTGGACGTGATTGTCGATGGGGTCACGAATCGGCTGGCAATTCCACAGGTATATGCTGCCCATCATTGGTGGTTCGAGAAAGAGAACCACCACATAAGAGCCGTACCTCAGTGTCAACGAAACACCTCGGAACGCTTTCCACGAAGTTCATACCTTTCGGGCGCTCCTTGCCACCGCAGCAATCGACGGTAATCGCGGCGATGGTAAGAAGATCGTCGTCTCGCTCTCAGAAGAGCTGAGGAATTAATCGAGTGCAGCTGCGAGGCGTGTTCGTCTTCGCAAGGTCGCCACCTCAAAAGACTGCGCGTCTGCTATTCCCGCCACGTCCTCGTAGCGGGAATAGCAGACACGCAGTCCTGGCCGCAATGCCTGATGGGACTGCACCCCGGCGCACCGTCGATTCTCTTGGTGCGCCTTGGGGCAACGAAAAGCTGCACCGGGAGGGTGCGCTCCGTTGATCGAGGACGTCCGGTGCGCACCGGTGCATTTGATCAAAGACGATGGGGCGAACCTCGCTGCCCCGGTGCGCACTGGTGCGGGTTATCGAGGATGCTATTAGGTTTTGGTTTCGTTTTCGCCAGGTCGTGCATCTGTCGTCTGCTATCGTCTCCGCACCACCATTACTCAGGTCGTCATGAATCGCTCCGCAGTTACGCGCGATGCAGTAAGTATCCTTTTGTTGTCGTCGCTACATATCAAACGCGGCGAATAACGGAACAACGGCGAAAATAAATCCCGGAGAAGGGGAACAATGGACACAAAGGACAAACACAAATCCCCAAACTGGTTAACCGGCTTTGCCCAGAGTGACTGCGCTATAGTACGACATAAAGTGCAGTGCCTGACCACTTTTATCTATTTTAACGGGTTGCACCAACTGTGCTGGAAATGTTTTAGATTTATCATATCGAATGTACCCGTCTTCGACACGCGAGACGCTTGTCCCAGTCGATTATTTTCACTCTCCGTTTTATGTTTCTTTTTACCATTTCAAATACTACGTGAGCAGCCACTACCCAAGTTTATCTATACGCGTGGCGATTACCTCGGCCTATACAATCGTCGTCGTGGCTATGATTGGTCTTACCTCTTTCGCCTTATGGACGTTAATTCTTGTGTCGAATCGGTAACATCAACTGTCCAGCGGGCTATAGAAGAATTCATACGTAAGCAGCGTCCAAGGAAATCAAAATTTCCTAAGTGGTTTTCATCTGTCCTAGCTGAAATATTATATGTGTCAAAAGTAGCATTACCACAAACTCTATAAAGAGTCAAATTGTGAATACTGGTATCAGAGGTTTTTAGTCTGCAGAGCAATAGTTAAGAAGCTTTACTCTCCAGATGGAGCTCGTTATCACAGCTGTTTGGAAAACCATTTTAAAAAAAGAACCAAGTTGCTTTTGGAATTATGCTCGGGCCCAAAGTAAGGATAGTGTCAGCGCTTCTGTGTTAAAAATGGACGATAAGATTTCATGCAAGCCACAAGAACTGAGCCAAGCATCTGCTAATCACTTTAGCTCTTGCTTTTCGGAACGTGACAGTATGCCTGATGATTTCGAATTTGAGGGTTTTGCCGAATCCTTAGCGTACCACAGTGTTACCGAGGATGAGTTGATGTGCTCGATACGGAAGCTCAAACCAAAACTTTGAACTGGCTGTGATGACATTCCTAATTTTATTATCAAATGGTGTGCTGAAATATTTATACCTATCCTGATATATATATTTAATCTTTCCTTACAGTATGGGGTATATCCTTCTCGGTGGAAAATTTCAGTCGTAATACCAAAGTCAGGAATTAAATTCGTATAATGTCAGTAATTTCCCCCCAGTGTCCCTTCTTTGTGGCTTCTCAAAAATTTTTGAGATGGTGGTGTATGATCTCTTTGTTGTGTTCTGCTATTTCTCTTTCACTTCTTCTTCTATGTATTGCCCTACCTATCTCACTTTAAGAATCCTATCCTCTTTCTTCTCTTCTTTTCGATGATAAAGGCAGTTCATCACGAGGCACCGGACGAGATGGTCGTTCTTTCATAGCGGTACGCTTGCTGCTGAATTCTACATTATGGCGACGAGGATCTACGTGAGTTCTGCGCTGGACTGGGCTTCAGCGAGGACATGCGGGGAATGCTGATCGCCGAATGGGCAATTTCTTGCGTGTCCCGGCAAAACCTTCCCCAGAACTGATCCAGCAACAAGATGGCGACTACATCGAACGGCATCACCGAGTGCTGAGAAGCCATCTTGGAGCAGTCATGGCCTCGGGCGGCAAGCTACCCCCAGAGTTCTTAGTCAAGCTGGGACCTCCGCCCATTCCATGGGAGCGATGGATCAAGATGTTTGAGCGTTATTTGCTGGCAACTGGCGCTCAAGAGTTTGGTGCAGAACGCCGTCGGGCAATGCTGCTCAACTGTCTCGGAGAGGCCGGCCAGCAGATTTACGACGCTCTACCAACGCCTGAGCCTGCTGTTGAGGAAGCGCTAGCACCGCTGGCAGCAGCAGGTGGCGAACAAGTTGTGGGAGCTCCAGGGCTTAAAGTCTCCCTCCCGCCGAGGGGGGTCTCACCTCGGATACCTTGGCGGGGGGGGGGGGGGGGGGGGGGAGTGGGCATTGCGGCAAACTTAAGAATACAGTATGTATTTGTAAATAAAAATACAATAAGTATTGCCGTATGACGAAGTGACGTAATTAAAAAATACAACTCTTAAACTAATTCCACGATCCACGCAACCTATTAAATTCCTAACAGACGCTTGAGACTAAGTGCTGACAACATGGTCTGACTCCGTCACTACATACATTTTAAATATTTGTGGGCTAGTGGTGCGAAAATATCTGGCACCTAAAAATAGATAAAGTTTGCACGCTCATTACTGTTTTTCACAATTCGGGAGAACCACTCTTTCCCTGGCTGTCTGGTATGGAGGCCGCAGACCAGTTTAGCACGATGTTTCTGAGCTACCTCCATGGGCTGGTGTGATAGAGAGATAGTGGGAGTCTTTTAGTAGACGGCTTCCGTGTTCAGGTTGCGATACCCGACTACGTCACGATTCATCGGTAAATGTACTGCAAAGTGTCTGGTACCGTAAACGGCACGTTAAACTCAAACTCTCTACTGCGAAAGTATGGGCTTCTGGAAGACAAGTTTTACAAAATAATGCTCTGTGTACACTTTTATTTACATAGTTCAGTTGCTGTCGACCCTGCTCGGCCGCAAAGGAAGAAATACCGTATAAATTATTCATTAAAAGAGTAATGTAAATACACAGTACAGAATGTCGCAGAGAGGCACACACAAAATAAAAACAAGTTAAGATGTATAAGTACAAAGCAAGACACTGTTACCACAAACAAGCGATCGTCGTTTTTTTGCAGTTTTTCTCTTAGAATCGAAAGGCTGTCATCAAAACTACTAATGTCGTTGGAAGTGCATTAACCTAAGCGGTGAAATTTGTTGCCCACAAATAGCGTTTCGAAGTAATATTCGAAAAAGCTCCAATGTCGTATTCGCGCTAACAGCGTCGCACAGTTTACATTCTCAAAAGCATGGCAGCGTTATGAAGGCTACATAAATGTATAGCAACAACAAAACGGACATAGAAAAAATTAAATAGTATGCACCTAATTAACAAAAGTGAGTTCTTAAAGACGTATTGTTGGCGGCTCGTTATACAGCTCATGCAATTGATAGAGCTTTCATCCTAAGATGACATCTACCCGGCATCAGCAGCGACAAAAGAAACTACCGCACAGGGTCACTGAAGAATTTTCCAGAACTTCTCCTGGCCTTCCGTCCAACTGCGTGCTTTGCGGGCTGGTGCTCTAACCTGAAGCGCAGAATGTCTGCCTGACAAAAGCCACGACGTCACGTACGAATCTGGGCAAAAACGTTGCAGTGGTGGACCGTTCACCTTAATAAACAGCAGTCTCGATAGTCTCGTTATACACAGCGATGACCTCATTGGCGTCATGATAATGTTCATCGCGCTGAACCCTCGTTCACAGTCAGCAGTTGACACGGGAATACAGTTCACAGCCGTCACAACCCCTCGGAGTTTCTCAGGAACAGTTTTGCCCCCGTTTTCAACGTACTCTCTGAAGCCGTGTTGAGCTTTTTTCTCATTTACACCAAGCCTCTGTGCTAAGCGAGTTATTTTGTCCTCCCCGTAAAGCACGTCCAGCTCACCGGGCCAGGTCAAGGGATCTAGCAGCCGAATGTCTTCAATCAGCTCTCTGTAGACTGTCACATGCTGGTCGACACTGCTGCTGCTGCTACGAGAAGACTGAGTGGTGAGAAGTCGTGTCCTCATGTTGTCGGCCAGGCTCTGGTAGAACTGCGTCGAGTTAATAGCTCGATCGCACTTTCGACCGGGATGCAGTTTTATATCTTTGAAGCACTTAGTCTTCACAGCGTCGTTGACCTGCACTGACATTTTCCCGGGGCGGACTTTTCTTGCTTCAAAAACTGCAATCTGCCTTGTCACCAAGTTGTGCGCCTCTGGCAACGTTATGGCACGCACCTGAAAGTTCAAAGAAAGTTCCGAGAGTTCGGCCAAGCTGTCATGGAGCAGTGCCAAGTTCTGGACAAACTCAACTGACGACAGCCTTTCTGCAAGCCCTATATACTGTGCCTTCTCTTTGGTGTCTCGCTTGGGGTCCTCGGAACACTTCATGAAGTGAGCGTACAGTGAAGGGTATGATGTCATGACAGCATTCACAGTCCTGAAGCTTGACGCCACCCACCTCGTGTCCAGGACTCTCCCCACACACAAAAGGGAGGCGTTCAAGTCCTTTGCACAGCTTTCGAGTTCTCTGCGGTTCTTTGGAGAACTGCTGTACAAGCAGTACAGTTTGTCCATGAAAATTTTGAAGTGATTGATACCTTGCACGTCGCGGACTGTATCTCCGACTGCCAGCTCCAGCCGGTGCGCCGAGCAGTGCCATGTGATTAGGTTAGGAAATGTATCCTCTAGAAACTTTGCAACTCCCGAATGTTTCCCAAGCATCACCGATGCTCCGTCACAAGCAAAAGCAACTAGCTTCTCCTTTAGCACGTTCATACTCAAACCGTGCGAACTCAGGCAAGTCAGCAGGGCCTCCTTTATACCAGCCGCCGTCCCATCTGTCACTTCCACGAGGTCCAGAAAGACAGTAATTGGCTGTAGGTGACCGAAGTCGGAGCGCAGATATACAATCAGCGTGGAATGCTTACTGACGGTAGTGCTCTCGTCAATCAGCACAGAGAACTTTGCGCCGTCTTCTATAAGAGCTCTGCACATGCTCTTCTGCATTTCATTTCCAATATGATCAACAATGTTTGCACATGAGACATTTGTGTGCAAAATCCTGCCTAGATCCACACCATTCGCAGTCTGCACGTCGATCTCATCACTGAAGTCACTGAATGGACGGCAGTTTTTCGCTTGTTTGTACGCGATTCGGAATATCTTCTTTGTGGCTTCCTGATGTTCATTCAGCTGCTCAGAGAAAGCTTCTTCAAGCTTTCTTTTCTTGGCTGTCCTGTCGATCTCCAGAGCCTTGATGTGGGCATCCGATTCCCTGTGCTGGTAAATTTTTTTCCGCAGAGCTCTTTGTTGCTTCTGTTTGCTGTCACCGGGTGCCTTGACTCCTCCCTCTGCCCATTCGAGGGAAATTCGACCGAGGCTGCCTAAATGCTTAACTCTTGAGCATGACAGGCATTTTAATTTTCCGTCCACGAAGCTCAGCCACTCATTTTCTTTCTTGAAGAACTCGCCCTGCTCCAGGTTCCAGCACTCGTGCAGGTTTGAAATGCAAGCGTCGCTAAGGTGATCACAATTCCTTTCGGAGGAAGGGTGCGCACCCTCATTAGTTGCAGTCGTAGGCACTTGATTACTGTCCTCGGCAGCACGATTCACAGAAACAGCGCGTGGCACAGGGCTAAAAAAGCTGGTTAGCTTCTTGCTGGCTTTCGTAGTCATGATATTAAAAGTTCAGCATAGTAAAATTTAAAAATAAACTCACGTTGTCGATGGTCTTGAGGTAGACGGATATCCAAAAAAATCTTCTAAAGTGTCTTGGTATGCGAAGGCAAAAGGGGAAAACAAGGTGCACATAAAAACACGTACGTCAGGCACGGACAGCGTCAGCCCTGGATTAAGGGGGTGGGGGCTAGGGAGGCTGGAGCCCAGGGCCACACCTGAAGAAAAAAGGGGTGGGGGCCTCTCTCGGCTGTCGGGGCGGGGCCAAGGGGAGGTCCTCGTAGGGTGCGAAAGACACCCCAGAAAAGAGGTATTTTTGGCTTTTTTGTGTGTTTGTTGCTGGCGTGTCAAAGAACCGCTTTGGTCGTAAATAAATTTTTCCTGGGACAGTTGCCACTCGTCACCAGCGCGTCCGAAGTACTAGTGGCATCAATTTCCTGTCGGCTTCTTTAAAGGCTTTTTTCTCTACAGGGTCATTTTACTTTTCCGGCGCCAACCATACTTCGTTTTATCTCGTGTTGAACCACAACGGAAGGCTAGGGATCCTCCAGAGCCAATCAAGCGCCAGTCCAGATGTGTCGTCACGCACTAATACACGCCCGACCTCGAGGAGCCAGGCGACGTCGCTTCTGAACTTGCGCTTGATTGGCTGTGGAGGCCCCTCGTCTTCCGCTGCGGTTCGACACAGGAGAAAACGAAGTAGGCAACACAACTTTTTTTTTTCTTGTTTGCGGGCCGTTAGAAACCGATATTTCGAAAAGGGGAAAGGGGGCGGGGGGGGGGATCACACTAAACGTCTGTACTTTCTGGGTGGCAGTGGGGTGTATTGAAGCCTCAGCGCTTTCCGGTGGCCGATCGTTAAGGGGTCCCTTTTAGTTCGAGCGTTTGTAAGCACTCTATATTTTCTTTTTGCTTGCCATTCCGCTTGTCGGATAGCGGCACGTTGACAATCGCCTAATCCACATTCGTTTCTTTTTTTTTTTTTTTAAATTACAACCAGACACGGACAACTGCAACTGCGAAAACGCGTTCCCCGCTTGGCGCACGTGAATGCATCATTTGTTTCACTTAAAATTGTCTCTTTCGAGAAAGCAATCTACGCAGCCTACCCCATAGCACGGCCCTGCCTAGAGAGAACACATCTGGCAATCATTCTCAAGAGCCACTTGCTGCGCGGAACGTCTATGGTGGCAGGAGCCACAAACAGGGATTTCTGCGCATAGCCTCTTGATTGCTTCTGCTGGGTTGAAGGCGTGCACATACGCACGGATAACGCAGTGACGTAGCGTGTTTTCTTAGATTTTATTGGACTAGCTCATTTTCAGCCTTAGTGTCATTCACGTGCAAAGGGGGGATTTGTTTTGTTCAAGTTTTCTGGGGAAGGAAGGAGCGCTTGTCTCGAGCGCCCGCGGCCGTCATTTCCGGGAGATAATTTTCCCGCTTTTGTGCGGCGCGGCGAGGCAGCGGGAGGGAAGCCCAGCTCCTGCCAAACCAAACCGGCATCTGCGATCTGCATCTCTGGCTGGTGGGGTGGGAGAGGAGGGCCGGCTGTCGTCTGCTTCTCCGGCACATGCGCAGTCGCGCGCTCCCGGAGGCCGCGCCGACTGGCACCGCGATGTTACAGTGTAGGGATGTGATTGAACCGTACGAGAGGAGGGTCTGTCGTCTGCCTGGACAGCACGCGCGCACCCTTTTTTCATCCCTTTTCCCCACCCTCCACAGTGCACACCAAGTAAAACGACCAAACCAGGCGTGTTAATAAAAAAAAAAAAAAAAAAGTTTAAAAAAATGGTGGGGGGTCTCGGACCCCCCGCCAAAATTGCTGGGGGGTCCGGGATCCCCCGAGACCCCCCTGACTTTAAGCCCTGGGGAGCTCCCCTTGATGTCTACGAGGAAACAGTTAAGTTACTGGAGGCTGAATTTACACAGCCAGTCAATGTGACGCTCCAGGAGCTCCAGTTTCATCTACGAAGACAGAAAGAAGGCGAGTCCCTTCGCGATTTTCTGTCGGCTCTACGGACGTTAGCCGCCAACGCTAATTTTGGAAGCCGTACTCAAGACCGTATCCGGAAACAGTTCATGATTGGAGTGGCTTCAACTGAAATTCAGGAACGGATGGTCCTCGATGCAGCTCTCCCGTTCGACGTTGTTATGCATACCGTCATGAACCTGGAAAGATCACGTCGAGAGGTTCGAGAGTGGGCTGGCGTCGCTGCACCGAGCGAGCAGACCTGTCAAGTGACGCACTCATCAGACTCGTCAGCCTCGAGACAACCCAGGGAGAGACAGTCCGGGCGACGTGAAGGGCATGCTTCCAGAACGCCATTCAAGCAGCCTGCCCGTCAGCATAGTTCTTCACAACGGATATGCTATGAGACATCGCCGCCACCTCCACGGAGGTCATCATCCCAGAGGGTTGCGAGACAACGTCCTGCCTCGAGAGACGCGTGTGCGACCTGCGGGGGAAGCGGCCGAGATCCGTTCTCCAGCCATCAGCAACCACGACCTGGACAGTCGTCGGACCGCCGTCAGGACCCCGCGGCACAGTCAATTCGCTCAAGGCCAGGCTCGCAAGGGCGGCAGCATTCAAGGCGACATGACAATTTTCGCCACACACGTACTTGTGCCAACTGCGGACATGGTCCTCATCGATGCCAGAGCTACGACACCTGCCCCGCAAGAAACCTTTATTGCTACAACTGTGGTCGCAGGGGTCACCTTGGCCGCGTATGCAGAAGCATACGTCGGGACTACCAGCGATCGCGATACAAGCAAGTGGAGCAGGTGCTCTCAGATTATGATGACTACGACGGCGACGATGATTCTGAGATCGTACACACTAAACGAAAATATACCCAGATGGGAGTACATCGCTTGTCCTCTAGCGCATTCCCTTATGGGAGGTTTTTATACTCTGCAGGATGGGAGCTCAGAATGAACTCCCACGCAGGCCAGAGGTTTTGGGGGGGTGCAAGGGAGTATGTACCGAACTCCCAGCAGTACGGGAGTCTGTTCATGGATCAACGGGCGTATTTATTTACTTCCATCAGAGTGTTCCTAGGTGGATCCAAGAGAATATTCTTTCACATCCTTATGGGAGTTTTTACGTGGACTCACGGGAATGTTCCTTTACATCCACCTGGGAGTTCTTACGTGGATCCACGGGAGTATTCTTTCACATCCATATGGGAGTTTTTACGTGCATTTATGGGACTATTTTTTCACATCCATATGGGAGTTTTTACGTGCATTTATGGGACTATTTTTTCACATCCATATGGGAGTTTTTACGTGCATTTATGGGACTATTTTTTCACATTCATATAGGAGTTTGTACGTGCACTTATGGGACTATTTTTTCACATCCATATGGGAGTTTTTACGTGCACTTATGGGACTATTTTCACATCCACCTGGGAGTTACAGCCGGGACCTAAGGGAATATTCTTTCACATCAATTTGGGAGTTAGTACGTGGACACACGGGAGTCTTCTTTCACATCCTCCTAGGAGTAGTATACCTACGGGAGTATTCCTTGGCATCCATCTAGGAGTTTCTTCAAAGCCAGGAAGTGTGGAAGGAAAGGCATAAGCAGGTAGCACAATGCAAGAAATAAATTTATTGCACTATGAATATTTTTGCACATGTCGTGTAACAAGAGCTCATTTTGCCTTGGGCGCAAACTGGCTTATACCCCGTCAGACGGCCATTTAAATGGCCTTCAGGGCAAACTCCTCAAAAAATGTCTGCGAACACCAAAGGGCACAGGCGAAGCCGAGATTGTGAACTGATTTGCCGATTCTTTGAAGGAATTCATTCCGAAGGCCATTTAAATGCCCGACTGACAGGGGTATTTATTACAATGTAGGGTACGCTAGGCTAACTGTGGTACACAAGCCACGATCGCTCTGTAGAAATTTATCAATTCCAGTGCCTTCACCCGTGGCTTCATGTAGCAGTCGGCAAAACCACGTTCAATGAAAGTCAGCATCTTATGTGCCTTCTTTACGTAGTGGATGTGGAAAATCCAGTAGACGGCAATGAGGTACGCCACATCCTGATGGAGCCATACCATAAGTTCAAAGTTCTTCCTTAATCAGTCCTAAAATATTGAAATAAATTACCTCAAACTTAACAGAATTTGATAAAACATAATATGAGAGTCACAGATTTTTTACCTCAGCTTATTTGAGTTAAACACTCTGACTGCTCCTTCTTAGACGTCGCAGCTTGCTCGTTATATGTAGTAGCGGCAGATGCAATTACTCTTCCTGCAATCAATCCGCTGTTGGCCATTCTCTTTCCTGCGTAGTGCTGGAAGGGACCTGTAACCAAAAAAGCACAAGCATTTAAGTTAAAATGTACTCACAATCAACACAACAGATGTTTCCGACGTTATCGTATGAACCTTGCAAACCAGGTGGGGAGTGAACTTTTCTCAAGAAGTGAATTGGAGACAGTTTCTTCAAAGCAATATCAATACTACTGATATTGAAAATATGGTAAAAGGGCAGAATGGTTTTAAAGTGATATAGCAACGAAATTGTAGTGCCTATTTTATTGTCTAAATGTCAACCATGTTTTGACCATACAGTGGAGACACCAATTTTTTGCTCAAAAAGACACAAAACATGTAAAACTAGTGTCTCAGAAGATCTCCCGATATGCATCACGTTTGCGACGTCTGGTTCTCTTTCAGTCAAAGCTACGTGGGGGCTGGCGTGGTTGTGAGCTTACACATTCGTGACGTCTGGTTCTCCTTCAATCAAGGCTATATGGGGGCTGGCGTGGCTGTGAGCTTCGCCACTTGATGATGTCAATGCACTACAAGCTGGCCGCTTGAGTTGTCCCTCCTCGCTCTCCGCAGGAGTTGAATAAGCCCGGAAGAAAAAAGAAAACCGGTTCAGCCAAGTTAGACAGGGCTCGGGCGCACACAGCCTGCCACCATGTTCCTGTGTAGCGGTGCTGCTTTTATGTGGTGTGACGTGACAGTATTTGGT